TGATTCGTCGGCTGCAATTATATTGGTTTTAAACATTCATAATCCGATAGAAAAAGCGCACTATACATAATAGATAAAATGTGCTTTTTTTTCTGTCGGATATGATGAACTAATGGATGACTTTTCAAGTTTATTAATATAAGGTTGAATTTAAAATTACATTACCTTAATATTCTGGAATGGCTGCAGTAATTTGGAAGAACTTTATTTATGGCACACAAGCAAGTATATTATTATATTACCGTGATCAGGTAGAGCTTAACAGGGACTAACGATTAATTTCAAAAGGATTAGTAGAGGCGGCAAAATTAATAATATGAATATTGAGCACTTATCAAATTAGAATTAAACATCATTAAGCATAACAATTAATGAAAATATTCGTGTAAGCTATAACTATCGAAAATCAGAAACAAAATAATTTTAAAATATTATCTAGGTACTTTAGGCGGCGATATTTCAACATATTAATATAAAACTAAATACCGATATATCTATACTTAAGGAAAATGGAAATGAATAGACTGAAAAGAAACTGAAAAATTTGATTACTCATATGGTAAGAGCAGTCGCCCCGATTGCGGATGGTTATGGGTTTGAATCTCAAGTCGGGCACACCCGTAAATATTTTGAGATATTTTTCCTAATTATTAATAAAGTATTGTGTTTCCAAAATTAATTAATACAACTATAAATAGGTTCTTTCTACGATATTCAATGCAGTACCCAGAAACTTTAGTGCGATGCGCTTTTTTGTGTTTATATATTTAACCAGCTTTTTATTGTCATTCCATTCAAAGCGTAACATTATGTAGCATATAGTAAACATACAAATATATATTTTTCTATAAGAACCAACAGTTCCTGAGATAGAGCGTTCAACCAAATAAAAACCCCTTTTATATATTATTAATATAGATAATTACCTAAATTTAAACGAATATTTAACACCACATCCAACGACTGTACATTCAGCAGGTGGACACATCAATTATTAATTTCGGTCTATTGACTTTTGAAACAGACATTTACAGTAATCAACATAAGATAGACAGGCAGGGTACATACAATACCTATTCCCAACGGTCAATACATCCAAAATATTATTCACTTAGTTATCCTTAAAGATAGCTTATGCGAAAGTCATAGAGTAAAATTTTACTCAACAAGGTGACTCCCTAATTGTGTTGTACATCGTACCGAGAATTCAGCTGTCTGGGCACGCAACGCCGTTACGGGCATAAAGCACACTTAGCACTCACTTAAGGAAACTTAACCTTAGACACCGCAGAATAAGGTTTAATCTTCAATTAACAATTTTGACTGGATAAAAATATAAATGGCAACCGACTGAACTGAATGTCATATGTGAAAAAATACAGTAGAGAACTTGGTAATGTTTATTTTATCTCTTCGTGAGTCATTCGTGACACTTGGGGTGTAAATATTTCAGAAGACCTTTCACGGATATACAGTTACGTACCTACAATAATAATTATGACTTAGATTAAATACCTTAATCTTTACAAAGACGTTATATGAAGGTCAAACCGAAAGGATCTGCTGATAGGTCACTCTTTTTTCAGTCTCTATCATACGCCGCACATTGATATTAAGTTCTGTAGAACGCCGAAGAAGGCCACTCTTCTAGCAGATTATCTTCTATTAGATAAATGCAACCACGTTTGAACTCATCAAACCAATTGTTAACTCTAGCAAAAGATGAGGTTTTATCGAGAAAGGTAATTTGAAATACTTCGAAAGTCTTAATAAAATTGCACCAATTTTTTGCTGACGCATCACGTAACAAGGCCAATTTCCAATTTGCCGCCAAAATGTAAAATAAATGACGAATTAATTTGAATAGTGATATAAGTAAACCTCAAACTCAATTATATGAGCAGAAATTTAATTAATTCACCATTACGTTATCTGAGAATTAATTAGTCCACGAAAAGCTCATTTTAAGTCTTTTGAATGCCATAATAATCTGCTTTAAATTTTCAATTCATTTTAAGATGTTAGTTTATCGATAATGACGTGGTGAGTTGCTTTCAAAATTAGTAAAGCGTGAAAGTACTTCAATTAGGACTCGGATAATTTATAATTAGGATTACCATTACCACTTACTTGCTTGCCCAAAATTTCACTGGACGAACGGTATCTAAAAAGTTAGATACTTCATCCAAACTTTAATAAAGAAATAAACTATAAAAGCAGTTATGCATATTTGATAAATATTTTATATTTATATGTAATGTGTATTAGTGGTGTAATGAATCATCGATATACTTGTTTTTAAAAGCGAAGTTTAAAAAAAAGATTGAAAGAAGTGGTAAACCAAAAGTAAGTTTGGGTTCGACATTTTTTAGTCCACCTTATGATTAAAATTCCAATGACTCCGACTATGTAGGTCTGGATCCTGAAGTTCTAAAATGGCGGTCGCGGGCCGGCTTGTGAATAACGATGTAAAGTCCAAATGCATTTTATTTTACAATAATAAAATTACACAACGTGCTAATTTTATCAGAACATTTTTCTTTTAAAGAAACTTTATAAGCTTTATTTTTTTACATAAATATCAATATAGCATTGTGAATTCAAACATAATATTCAACAGGACAGGTTTTTTTTTATCTCTATTAATAAAAATCACCAAGTTACTTCTAAAGCTAAGCTTTATTCTATTTTTTTATACAGTTTAACAAATCGATATGGTTTTAAAAGAAATGCGTATCGAATGAAGTTACTTAAAATATTTTTTTATTAAATATTGATTACAATCGGCCAATTCTAAAAAGTTTCCGTATCGACTTCGTATTGTTCGTATTATTCGTACTTCTCTATAGACGAAAATACTCGGTATGTCTAATCTATATACTAATATAAAGCTGAACAGTTTTGTTTTCGACGAAGAGGGTGACGAGGAATGGTGTGGGCACAGGTGTGAAAATAAACAACTTATCTTCTCAAAAACTATATTGTCCACAAGACAAATATCCTCGTCAAAGAACATGACAAATCAATCATAGTCCATATGTCAATACAAAAACAAAATTAAATAAAAATCAAATATAATAAAAAAACTATAAAAACAAAGACAACGTATAAAAAAGGTCGGTTCAACTGACGATCCTCAACAAGTTTTTTCTTTGTTTAATTGAACCCTAAAATCTCAGGAATAACTGGTACGAATTGAATTATTGTTTTTGTGTTGAATAGTCCACTGTACCTATGCTATATAACATCAGGCTATGACTTATAGGAGTGGAGCAGCAATTTAAATGTTACAAAAACGGGAGATTATTTTATACCTGGGGAATGGTTAATCTGGCGAAATAACAAAATGCTACAATTAGCTATTGTTAGATGACGCTACTGTGTTTTTAAAACTGGTGTAAGTGTTTTTTGACTTAGAACGGTATGTAAAGTAATATATTTGCAATTGTAACACAAGATTTCTAATAAATTACATTAGCCATTTATTAGACCGTGATGTCAATAAAGATAAGTAATAATAAAACATTAATGAAAAAAAACTGTGCTTAAATAACGTGAAATACTGTGAATAACTTTTTTAATGAATAAATGTGTTTTATTTGCAAAAAAATTAGCCTTAAAAACCGCTCAAGTGTGACTCAATACGTACGTATAATATTGTTACATTTTAGCGATTTAGTTTTTATTTCATTGACAATGGGCTCAGTCTTGATCTCAATCCAGCCTGGGGGCACGAACGAAATGTACGGTGGAACGAGCTTGCCCAGTAGAAGCCTATTCACTCTCGCCTTGATTAAATTTGGGTTATTTGTTCACGGGAATATTGTCTTATTTATTACATATTTTAACATGATATGCAGCTTATTTTTCATGTTTTTGGAGTAGTATCACAAAAAAAATGTGGTTTGTTAAACAAGTAGATATAAACGTGAATATAAAAGATAAGTATCGGTGTCGGTGAATAGACTCAGCTCTGCAGCTTATGTCGTGTTGAATATACGCAAATACAATACTAATCTATGGATACGCAGGTTAACTGATATAGATACTGCCAGACAGTCGCAGACTAATAAGGGGCGGAGTGGGCGGAATTACGAAGATTAAGATTCTGTCTCGTTTGGAAAAGCGATCAGGGCCTATTACGGCCCTGGGCCCGCCACTGCTACCAGATTACTTCAGCTACTTTCATATTTTAATGTTGTACGGTATCTTATGGGGGAACGCAGGCGGCATTCAAACGATTTTTGTGCTTCAGAAGAGAACTATTAGATCAATTTATAATCTTTGAATTAGACACGTTAAGACATAAAAACTTTAAAAATATAGAATTAACTTCAACTATAAAAAAGTGATAAATAAATAATACTTATCTCAAAAAAGACTTATTTAAGAAAACGCAATTGAAATCAAGTGAAGGTCATCTGTAGGTTTATTAATTAAATGAAATGCACCCGATTATTATAATAAAGAATAATTTGTTTTCTATAAAAAGTGATGTACACAATTTTTGACTGCAAAAAGTTGATAATTCATTCAGAGGCCTTTGTGTATGTTTCTACATTAAGGCCCTAAGCAATATACAACAATTAGATATTAATCAATTTAAATGTTCCATCAGTGAGTGTTACAAAACACATTGGAAAGGTGTAGGAGCCAGCAGGGTCCTATAAAAGAGGAGTCCAATGGAATCAATTGCTACTTTTAACTAGTTTTTTTTAAGACCCTCTTGTATCTCTGCTACATATTACAAATAAAAAATATAATTAAAATTAAATAGGTCATAAAATTACTTATTATTTCATTATATCAGTAAAACCTAAGCAAATATATAAAAATGCTTTGACTATTTAATTGAATATAACTTTATTCTATGGATAGCATCAGCATGAACATACAGATTTTGAAATAAGGAAATTAATATTGATTTATTCTACTATAAAATTTTAAGTGTTATGTTAGTTGTGATAAAATTGAAAAAACACAATGATAAAAAAACAAGATTAATTAAAAGAGAGTACTTATTTTATTAGACTTGAAATAAAAGACTTATTAATTAATAATTACATAAACTTAATCATCACTTGTAACCTCCTTCATGTCAACATCATCAGATATTGATTCAGTATCATCAGGCTCATCTAATAGAGCTTGCAATTGGTGTATTGATGTCACCAGAACATGAAACTGCTTTTTTCTCAAAGCCAACCGACTTTCTAACTGATGTTTAGTAGATTCTAAATTCCCCAATTCACTTTTAAGAGTGCTCAATTGTTCTAAAGTCTCTTTTCTGTCTGGCTGTTCACTTATGACTTTTGCTAAAACATCATATTCAATGCGGTTTTTGCGGACTGTCTTTGCTTGTGCGAGATCGGCTTTGCTCTTTTCAATATTGCCTTTTGCAACTTCTATGCCGGTTTCTAATATTTTTGATAGCGATTCGTAACTTTTAAGTTCTGCTGCCATCATTTCTGATGCTAATTGAGATTTAGTAACAGCAAATTCACATTGAGCTAACTGGGCGAGCATACGATCATGTGTAGCTTTACTAAAAATAGAGTGTTCTTATAAATTACTGATGTATTTTTATATTATTAAATAAAAAGAACAGTATTACAACATTAAACGTAAGGTTACCTGTCCTCGGGTTTATCATCCGTACTATTACACCATTTTATTAACGTCTTTAAGAGAACATTTAGTCTTCTATCGTCTCCAGTGCCATCTCCATCTATAAGCAGTCTTCTACGAATTACCTCCTCTGAAATATATAAAAATAACAAATTTAGTTTATCCGACTAACCTCTATTTATTGTTTAAATCTTAAAATGAGTTTATGCTTATTATTTAATCTTACCATCTCCCATGTTAAGTATTGTTGATCTAAACCAAATAAAATTTGGTATTACAGATAATACTCATGCAAATAAACAAAGAAAAAGTATTTTTATTTTTCTCGTTATTTGTTTTCTTGCGACAACTTTTTTTTTTAAAGGTTTTACCGGCCCTGGCTTCCATGGCCTTCAGCCGTCTTGCGACAACTTGTAGCATTGCACAGACTATAAATAAGAAGATGGAGCATAGCATACACATAGCATATTACCTTTCTCTATGGATTATAGAGGTGGGACACTTTTAGTGGTAGCTGATATTTTTACTAGCGCCATCGAACGGTAAACATTGTAAACTGAATCGTTGCTTAGCAACACAATGAGGAAGTATTTAAAAAAAACGAAAGCGCCAAAAAAGCACCTCCACTAGATGGCGACTTTAGCAAAAATTTATTTTTGCAGGATTTTGATTTTAACTAACATATTAAAAAACTGAAATTTGTAAAGTTCGAAACTTAAATATCAATACAAATACTAAAAAGTACAAATAGAATATGAGTTGTTTATTGAGTATTGAAAACTAATTTACTTTTAAACATAAAAGAAAACCGGAAAGGTTATCATGGAGAAATCAAGAACTTACCGTGGTGACACCTAGTTAGATTTCGGGAACTAATGTTTTTTTAAATACTTCCTCTTTGTTGACTTTAATGAAAATATCGAAAAATGTTTTTATTGATTTTTATTTTCCATGTAGAAATTAATTTATTCGCTTGACTGAAGGCGCCCTTTATGGCCTTAGGCAAGCTATGCAGGGAGGGAGATCGAAATCTCCTTAAAAAGGTGGTGTGGACTGTAAGGCGTGGTCAAGAAAATAAATAATTAAATTAGCGGGTTTCTGTGAGGTACGAGCTGATGACAAGTACGATATAAATGAAAAATACGGGGAGTAAGTAGGCGGCGACTCCTGCGTCAGTATCACGGCGCTGTAGGTGGATTCTAACAGGCGTGATAGGCCTGTTTACCTGGCCTGTCTCCTCCAAAACACTTAAGCGCTGTTATGGGCGTAATAAAACGCCTCGGTAGCTTCAGTAAAAACGTACTAAGAAAAACCGACGGCGTGACGGTTGATTTTATACACTTAAGGTAGCACAGAACATCAGCATATCCTCACCAACACTTCTCACCAGTATAATATGTGGAATTCGAGCGGACTTATACAGTTTTATGACACGGCGAAACACAGAAGAATGCGAACGCGGCGGGCGAATTTCTTCAACTGGCGACTTCTACCGAAGACGCCATAGATGTCGCATAAATATGTTCTGTCTAGCCCTTTCTCTCTTATTTTTGTACAGTGCAGTTTTTGGAGGCAGACAGGAAAGGTATTAATGTCAACTAGCGAGAAATACAAAATGGAGATACTTATTGTAAAAGCGACGTCAATAATCAAATAAATTATTAATGTTAAATAAATGTATGTTGGCGTTACCACTTGACATTGGCAGAGTTGGGTGAAATGCGCAGATATGCCATTAATAAAAAAAGAAGAAGAGCTCATTCATAGTCTATTTTATTTAATAGGTATAAGTTTTAGAAGAAAAATATTTTGATAATAGAAGTTCTATCGAAAGATAATGAGGAAGTATATATAAAAAATTAGTTCCCGAAATCAAACTAAATGTCGCTACGGTACGTTCTTGATTTCTCCATGACAACCTTTCCGGTTTTCTTTCAAGTTTCAAAGTAAATTAATTTTCAAAACTCGATAAACAACTCATATTCTATTTGTACATTTTCGTATTTGTATTGATATGTAAGTTTCGAACTTTTAAAATTTCAGTTTACTAATATATTAGTTAATTAGTTTAAAGGAAATGGCTGTCTTCGGTCCATTCGTTTCCTGCAAAAATCAACTTTTGCTAGAGTCGCCATCTAGGGGAGGTGCTTTTTTAGTTATTTAATTTTTTTAAATACTTCTTCATTGTGATTGAGATACTTGCAGTGCGTAAATGTTGAAGTATTGCTTGTTAAGAGGAAACTATATAAATGCGTTGAAAAGTACACTACATAGACAGATTGATAGAAGAACAGAAAGAATAAAATATAATTGTTTAATCGGAATTAGTACTAGTGATTTGGAAATAAACATTTTATTATTCTATCTATGTATTTTTCATTGATTTTTTAAAATCTCCAAGTGGAAAAATAATGTAGTCATCTATTATGTCAAAGGAGTTATTACTTATAATAGGACATAGTACTTCCAGCTGAAAAGTGAGTCGAGCGAGATATCAAGTACAGAGGCTATTTGTCCCTTTCTAATAGGGCGACAATAATTTTTTGATTAAGAGAGACTTGTCATATTATGGTTCAGTTTTTAATAGGGTTTTCATGCAATTCGATAATATACGTGCATTATCGCATGAATCGCATGCCCTTATAATTTGTATGAAGAATCGCAAGTGTTTGTTTACTGTAATGATTGAGGATGACCACGATGTCCCAGTACGAATAGAAGGTAGATTGATTTCATCCATTAAGGATACATGTACCAATCCGCATTGAGGCCTCCACATGGACGTAATGAGGAATGCCAGGTGGTAAGCGCATTTAATCTGCGAATTGGATGGGTGAAAAATTTTTTTATATGTTACTTAGCCCAAGATAAGAAAAGAGAGCAAAATCCCTTTAGTTTTCCCTTGCCATTACGAAACTATTACGAAAATATTAGCTAAAGATCGTACAATAAAGAGAAGACCTGGATCTCTACAAGAAAATACAAATATAGTCCCATTTTGCGTTAATAGATCGTGTATAATCCCTGTATCATTATTTCAATGTTAGTAGTCAGTGTCATAGAGAAAAATTGTTGCGCTATCACGGCTATTGCAAAGTTATTTCCGAACAGAATCTTAAAATGTCAAATTTTAAATTGTTTTGCCTTGCCCTTTGTTGAGCAAATTATGGCGAAATTTAATAAATTCTTGTTGATATACACGAAAATTTCATATTCAACAGTATCTACGGCTTAAATACTTATAAACATTCAAGAACAATGGAAGACTCGAGTTTTAGTGCAAAATTAGAGTCATATTTCTTGGAGTTAGGACGATGGTTTGTATCTTAACTCAATTCATCTGATATTTACAAATACATTTGGGTCCGGCAGTAAATACTTACAAAATAATATTACAGGAAGGTGTGGCGGAGTATTATTTTGGGACAAGTGTTATCGCTCCTGTTGAGTGGCAAATGTATATTAACAACACTTCTACAAAGCGCAACTTGGCAGTTTCCTACCACTGGACAGCTTGTGCTACCGTACATAACACTTTTTATTCTGTTTACACCAACATTACTATGTAACGGATTAAAAAAAATATCCAAGTAAGTAAAAATATTCAGTTCTTCAACTAAAAAGAGTGATTCTTGTGTCACTAACATGCAAAGATCATGGTACATCTCCATCCATTTAGTGCTGGGGTACTTAGCTTAAAATAATAAAATTTTCATAACCCTTCCTATGACCAGTTCTTGCAAAAGTTGCTCAATTTCTTCGTTGCATACTGAACACTAAAATCAGATTGTAACATCAACACTAATTCATTAATAATAATTAAACCAATAATTATTTAATGATAAATTAGGATCTTATATTCAGTAAGTAATGTTTAAGCTAATAATTTCTTTAATAAACACAAAAAATTTTGCTATGTTAATTTTCATTGGTTCACAGAAGGTGGTGGGTAATAGTGATCGCTTGTACTTTGGATGTAGAAGCAAGTTGGTTGCTAGTTATGTCACAGCGATTCACATCTGTACTGAGCTGACAGCTTCTAGCATGCAGTGGTGTCGGTGCAGCACTAGTTGGTGGGGCATGGCGTGGTCAAAGGCTTGGAGTGGCACATGTTGCTGGGGCTACACTTGGCCTGATGGCGGTTGTATGTGTAGTGTGGGCTGATGTTGAAGGTGCTCCCACAGATGGTATGAAGGTTTTGTTTATAGTTCAATTAACTTTATGCACTGAACACATAGTAATTTATATTCCACTTATTTAATTTCCTAATATATATGTGATATTACATTATTTAAAAAATTGTTAATTATTAACATGTATTAAGTATTGTATGAAGTATATTGATGCTGGAAAATACAAAAATTGTTCTTCCGACTAGTAAAACATTTTATTTCTTTTTAAAAAATCGCCTGTAAACCTAAATTGATTAATAAGCAATTAAGTTATTTTTTATAAAAAAATAAAAAGTTATTCAAACAATTTGGTTTTACTATGTGTATGCTATTCAAAATCTACATATTAATTTTCTTTGCAGGTAAAAACCAGCTTGTTGGCGACATGTTATGCCTTGGAGGTTCTCTTCTCTATGCTACTGTTACAGTGCTACAAGAAATGATGCTCAAAACACAATCTTGCTCAGACTATTTGGCCTTACTTGGCCTGATTGGAAGCCTCGTCTCCTGCACTCAAACATTTTTCTTGGAGTTCAGTGAACTTATAACATTCAACTGGTATGAATTGGATACGATAATACAGCTCGGAAGCTACTGCTCAGTCCAGACTGTATTCCAAATTTTGCAGTGCTTCATGTTGAGGGATGCAGGCTCAATAATACTCCATTTATCCTTTTTGTCAGCTGATTATTATACACTCATTGCTGGAATGTACATTTTTCAATTTAAGGTAAGATAAAAACCACTTTACACTGAATAATTTTTTTAAACTAATGTACAACTGATGACTCAGTGATGTCCATGCACAGAAGACTGATATTTCGAAGCATGGCATATGTTAGACAATTAGAAATATTCAAGAGTTCTGCATCAGACCAATGACTTATATCTTTATTATTATTTATTTTATTCAATATGGACTTAAAGATATGCAATTATAATGTCGCACATTAATCTTACACAATATCTTTGGTTCCCCGCTAATTCAAACTTAGGTCAAAGCTGAAAATCGGCAGTTTGCTTTCCAAGTAAATATATCGCTGAGCTTTTGCCCTTTTTGCTCGTCCTGGTATACATGTGGCCCTGTGTGTGTTTTAATTGATTATTTAATTTTTCTTTTCTTTTATTTATTTTTATAATTCAATTATTGTATATAGCTTATTGTGGTTGGTGTAAATAAAATTATCTTTCATTATTTTATTATTAATAAAATATTTCTTCATTTATAGAATGAAGATAAACAGAATCATATATTCACTAGTAGATGTTAGTGAAACAATGAATAACAAAGTCTTCTTCTCCGCGGGCTGTTTCCGCAACTCTACACCAGAGCTTATTTTGTGTGCAACAGTGGAAGCTTCGTTTCTGTCATCCCAGTTACACCAAGAAGAATTGTAGTTTCACGATGTCTATGCATGTGTCCAGTAGTGTCTTTGGGCTTGTGTGCAGACTTTTGTATCGTCACTCCGCTGCAGTGCAGCAGAACGTGAGCGCTCGCCTCGTCCTTCTTCAAGCAAGCCCTGCACAGTGGACAGTCAGAGATACTTAGATTGTAAAGATGTTTATTAAAATGTCCATGTCTCGTGAATATACCCACAATTACCTCTTGTGTTCATAAGTTTTGAGACGAAATAAAAGTAGCGTAACTTTTTTAACTTTAAAAATTTTCAGTTACCATCAATTAGATAATAATCAATAATAGCATATATATTTTATTCAAAATGACGGATGATGAGTGCGCGAGACATATCGTGCAGAAGCTGGGACATCCTTGCTACTTTTAGCGTACACTTTGTTTTATTGGTTGAACTTTTCAAGAGAGGTATTTTTAGTGTGTGTCTGGTTAGTTTTGTATAATTAATTTGATAACCGTGGGTCTACGTTAGAGATTGCTTCCCTGGCTTGGCCACAGTCGGTGTGTATAGTCCATTCTTCGTCTTGTCTGCGTTGGTAACGTTCCCTTATCCAACCTCTCGGTTCCGGTGCGTAGGTTGTGGTGTCTTGAGCCCAGTCGGCAGCACAATTACCTCTGGATCAGCTGTGCCTTGTATTCATTATAATGTCAAGTCCTCCTACCTCTGTTATTTTACAGTGGCATTCATATTCCAGACCAATGTTATCGTCAAGCGTCTGAAGAACTGATTCTATTCTGACTCTATCCGAGAGTTTCGGCAGTCCTGATAATAACCACGCATTACTGTGCTACTGTAACATGTATGTTTAGGACCTCAGAGAATGCCCCTGCTCCCGTTCCTGTCTTGGTTTTTGAACCATCAGTATAGACCCTTGGCTCTTTATGCAGATTTTTGTCTGGAACATCCTCAAGAGCTGTATTATTTGTCAAATGTGCCCCTTCCACAACTTTAGCATCTGCAATCGGTGGCCGCACATACTATTTCCTACTGTAGATATAGATGTAACGTTCAGAATTGTCTTTAGTGCAGACGTAGGAGTGGTCCTCTTACTACCAGATATCGCGCGACAGACTCGTCCTTGAATTTTTTTCAGTTTGTCCCTTGTTTGTTGCCTATGTTAACTAATGATAGTCCCACAGAAAGACCACATAGCGAAATTCGTGTCTGACATGCTATTCGACCTCAACGCGTTGTAGGAATGAAGAAAAACCATGAAGCGGTTGGAACCATATTTAAATAAACATACACACACAGCATTAACCATATTTAATGCTTTACGATGTGGATCCTGCTAGTCTCATATGTTATGATAATGTTTTTCCTTTGAAAATATTTTTTATCCTGTAGAAAATATGTCAATGCTCTTTCTGGTGCTAAAATATTGAATGCTTTACGTATTTGTCATTCATTATTAAATATAATAAAAGAAAAACGTGACATTAAAACAAAAAGCAATTTGTTATTTTATGAGATTATTTAAAAAAAATCGACTCATTAAGTGATCATTAATTAATTATTGAAAACAAAACGCATTTCGCTATGTGGTCTATTGTTCGGTCGCTGAGCGGTTTCGGTCTTTGAGCGTAACATAGATAGTATTATGTGTCATGTAAAGTGTTGATCTGTTTCCGTTGTCAATTAATTAATGAATACGTTTCGTGTAACAGTTTCACGCGTTGTACTTCCTGTCGTATTTGCTCGCGATGGTGGGCGTGTTCCTGTTCAGTGCACGCCCCACTAGCGCGCCGCCACCGCCCGTCGCGTTACCTCAACTCGTGCACGACTCCGTGCAATCACAGGACAACGTGTCTATGTGAGTTGTAGCCGTAACCCATAGACAATACTATAGCCGAGACAAATTCGATGAAAAATAAATGTAAATAAACCAAATCAGGGTCATCACAACTTGGATGACAAAAAAAAGAACCTGACCAGAAAAATGGAAAACCAGATCTGCAGGCGCCACATTCTTCTTTTTAGTTGTAACACGTATATGTGAATTGGCTAGCTAGATTATTATTGTGAGTGATTTATTTTTAATGTTATGTTGATGACATCATAATTTAAGGCTCAATTCTGCTATTTTACTTAGTTTTCATGTTTTACCGCAATATGGCGAGTCTTTTTATTTTTCTGGTTGGGATTTAAAACTCGCATGCTCACCATGATACTACTCATAACTTCATGATTTAAAGAGTAATACTTTTTTACTGCCATATATTGCTAGAAAATTACATATTCAGTATTTTACTTTAAGACAGCTTAATGATGAAACTGAATTTTGAACTAACTTGTGAACCTCGGCCGTCATCATCAGCCTATTATTATTCCCTGTAGCCCTTATTACCTTTATAAGGATAACCTGTACCTCTTACTACTGAGTTACAGGTTATCCCTATGGATATAATCACATAGGAGTAATTTACCTTAACTCGCAACCCGGCCTCATTACTGATTGGTAAGTGTTAATGACTGCAGATTTAGCCACGACCAATGACTCAACGTTTCTTCGAAATAGACTCGAAGGAAGTTCGAGAAGGGCACCCATCCAAAAACTGACCGTTGATGATACTTGCTTAACTTCCGCAATCGCAAAAAAATGCCCATTAATGCTTATAAATAAATTATTTCAGGGAGTATACTGTACCGACGTTAGACTGCATCCCCATAGAAGGATTGGAACCGCCCATAAGTCGAGATACCACATTCACGTCGTTCCTCGGTGGCCCCCACACAACTATGGCAAATGGAACAGTCCCTTTTAACCATTCAAATGGAACACAAAATAAAGACCCTTGTTAATAGACATATTATTTTAAAAAATACGCTTAGACTTTTATAAGACATAAGACTAAATATTGATAAGCACCGGCGAATCTGATACTAATACCACATATCTACAATGCCATTGTTCATTTTCATTAATTATGCCTAATATGGGCATTCAGAATATTTACGGTAACAGAAAATAAGTGTGGTAAGATTATCTATGTCCCAAAATAGCATAATTCGCTTTGATTCGGCATAAATCATGGGCACTTATAAAAAAGCTTATTGTAACTAAAAACCGCTGAGTAGTGTGTTATTAAAAAGTCTCAAAGCCAAACTAAAAAGTCAAAATAATAAGGATGATGACTATTTTTTTTTGTTTGTATGTCAGGGAGATTGGCGAAAAAAAATATTGAGTGTTTTTTTTTTACGTCGATACATTGAGTTAAAAGACACATGACGTCACGTTTTTGTACATTTTCTATAAAACTGACGTAGCAAGCCTTACTCCTCAACTTTAATGCCTTATCATAGCTGTTTTAATGCATTATCTGACCGACGGACTGAATAGAATTTCTTTTTTTTTTTTATTCCAGCATCATCCTCATTTTTTACCTAAAATCTGTTCAATGCAACTTTTGGCTGATACGAACAAAATGAGTGAAAGAAAGGCACCAGCTCTAACAGAAGTAACAAATTCAATCTTAACAATATAAATTAGTTATAAGTGGCACATTCCATTATAATTTAAAAAACAAATTTATAATGTTAACATAATATTTTATAAAGTCATGGATGGTGTTTTAGAAACTTTTACCTGTAATAATAATAGTTAACTACCTGCCCTTATTATGTCCCAAAAATCCATTCTTATTCAAAAACAAATGAGCAGCAAATGTAATCCAACACCCATCTTCACTAACCTTAAACAAGGCATAGCTTAACTAGGAAACGCCTAATATTACGAATCGCCTAAGCAGGTTAATTTAATTCTAAATATTTTTTTATCCTGTCATATACGTAAATGCCTAGCGCAAGATACAGCATAACTTTAGATATTGTTTAATTTCGTAAGGCGATTCCTAGTCAATGGTGAAATGCATTTTTACCTTAAGCGATTCTTAAATATTTAGACGACAGATTTAGTAAGTTCTTAAATTAAGTCCTGTTGAAGTCTCGAATCAGTCATACAACTACATAAGAATTAATTACTATAATATTCACTTTACTAATATAGTCCTTAATGCTTTAAGTTAAAGTCTATTAGCGCACTGTCGATGGAAAATCGGAATCGCATTAGGATGTACATTAAGACATTTTAGCAATAATCGACCACTAGTTTTGAAATTTGAAAACTAATATACTGCCACGTACTCGAATTTTATAATAAACATTTTAATTGTAATATTGAGATTTAGAAGTGTTTGTATATGAATTTTAATGTAGTTTCTATGAGAGAAAATGTATTGGAATTGTGTAATTATATAACTAATTAATGAATTAGAAAAATATTAACAAGCATAAAATTAACGGATGTTTCCTACGAAATAAACAAGTCATCGGTGAAAATGAAAAAGCTGCTGATTTATTAATAAGTTGCCGACCAATGTTTGAAATACCAAGTAGTTTCTGAAGTAAAGAAATATTTTTCACAATATAATATAAATATGCTTGTCTACATTTTTCTGTTTTCTTTTAGAAAGATATCTATGAATAGTTATGTACAGTCAGACAATTTGATTCTTCACGAAATATAAAACTTTGGTGCTTTTAACAATTAGCTAGTCATTTCATTTATATTATTACTTTAAGGGCGCTTGTGCACTACACTGAATTTTCAGGTCCGGCGGTCCGATTTTTTCCGGTCCGGAATGACATGAAAAACTCGGATGAGTAGCTTGTGCACTTGTCCGTTTTTTTCCTGATCGGAGCGGCGCAGTGTAGGGCAGCTCTCTTTGAAGCTACACGTCACTTACGCTAGGTACGATGAGATTTTTGGAACGTTGGTAATTCCGTTCGAAGACGTAGAAAGGTACCTAAATAATGATCTGATCGTTTTATATAAACCATAATAAATTATGGCAAGACGAAAGCATTTTTTTTACTACTATCGGATGACTACTATCAGATGTAAAAACTTATACCCTTACTAATTTAGGAACAGCATTATTCACATACAATAGCTAAAAATATCTGACATTAGAATAAAATTACTGATAATGGTCTAGTACTTGATGTTAATATTTTTAAATGTGCTATTTTTTTTCGAAGTTTTGTAAAAACGACTTTCAGCGATTACAAAGATAGACCAATCGGTGGCGCCATTTCGTAAACAAATCGAAATTAGTGCCGTGTTAGCGGAGAATGTTTATGCTAAATGAACTTTACGAGATCAGTTGACTGTAGATGTAGATGGCATAATTTTATACGCGTGGTGTAGTTTCTTTGAGCAGAAATATTATTCCCTTAGAATACTTATTTTTTAATTTATTAATGACACAAACATACATTTAAAATTTTATTAAATGCGAAAAAAACATTGAGTGTCACTTAATTACTTTTGTTAATCTTCTGTTTATTCTTTATTATTACTTCTGTTGTCAAATATTTATCAATTGTTTTAAAAAAATTTGATAATGACAAATTTCCAGGCAAACTTTCATCCCCTATTTTTCGCGATAAAATGCAGCCTATGTCCTTTCTTAAAGTTAAGTCTATTTACTATATTAATTTCCATTTAGATGGGTTCAGTTGTCTAAACGTAATAACACTTATTTATCTTACCTTAAGCTATCGATACTTTTAATACGATTCTAAAATCTAGCTAAGTATCGATACTAGAACCATATGCTGATCAAATTAGAACTATACCGAGTTTGCCAAAGCATATTCAGTGATATATACCAACTATATTAAATCATCATATAAAATATAGCATTTTATAATCAACAATAAATATCGATTATAAGTTTATTGGAAATTAACAATATTGCCGAAATAAATATCGATTCAAATCGATTATTTTTTCCCAAGCCTATTCCTTATGAATTTTCCGGATCTCGGACACAGCAGTGCACAAGCGTAAACACGTTTTTCATTGCTGCCATCACGGACCTGAAAAAACCGGTCCGGAATAGAGAAAAGTAAAATTCCGGACGGTAAAATTCCTGACAGTGCACAAGCGCGCATTACTTACATATGGCCTGACATATCGGACCTGAAAAAATCGGACCGCCGGACATGAAAATTCAGTGTAGTGCACAAGCGCCCTAAGTGTCTGTTTTCGAAATAAATTAAAGTAGTTATTATTGGTTTATTTAACGCACAATATACTTAATTTGACGCACCATAATAAAAAAAAATCCTGGTAGTCATAAATCATAAGTTTTAAACTAAAGAAGGTATCTATCTCACTATTAGAAAATTCTATACTATTTTCACACTTCTTCAGCATTCAGCAGTTTATAATTTTACTAGATTTGTTATGGTCTAACCATTTAAACTTAGATTATATTAGAACGGAAATTAATCTATTTCGCGTCCCTTAACGCTGGATGAGCTAGGTTAAGTGGGGCTCTCTCCAGCAGACCCACCCCCTAAAGTGGGGTTAGATAAAATACACAGGTATATTCACTAAAACCTTCCGATGCCCCTCTCTCGGTAGCGGTATGGGAATACAGCTCGAAGACAATTTTACATTCACTTGAATCAAATTGGTTGACTATAATATTGTCATAATTTTGTTTCTGTAATGAATTAACTATGTTACTATTGTTGCCTAACTTGCTTTAAAAAGAGTATAGTGAAATTATATTAGGAGAATTTTTATTACATTATAAATTAATTAATAATTATGCTGGAATTTCTAAAATTATTTAAGCAGATAATCTAGAATCCTAAGAGGAATGTATGTATGTTGTACAGTCGACGGCTCGCCAGTTTACTACAAAACGCCAAAGGACATCATTCAAAAAATACCAAAATCTAAAGGGCCGAAAAAGTAATATTTTTATTATGACAGAACATATTATTGTGAAAAAATATATAT